AACCATGCAAAGTAAGGCATTTTTAGCCGAAAAAAACGGCAATGCACAGTGAGGCGTTTTTAGTCGAAGAAAAAAAACCCATGTATAGTAAGGCGTTTTTAACCGAAAAATCAACCATGTATAGTAAGGCTTTTTTAGCCAAAAAAAACCCACTATGTATAATAAGGCGTTTTTACTAAAAAAAAAACGACCATGTAGAGTAAGGCAGTTTTAACCGAAATTTTTAGCTGAAAAAAACGACAATGTATAGAAAGGCGTTTTTGGCCGAAAAAAACGACCATGTATAATAAGGCATTTTTAGCCAACAAAAACGGCAATGCACAGTGAGGTGTTTTTAGTCGAAAAAAACGACCATGTATTGTCAGGGATTTTCAGCCGAAATTTTTAGCCCCCAAAAAAAAACGACCATGTATAGTAAGGCATTTTAAGCTGAAATTTTTTGATGAAAAAAAACGACCATGTATAGTAACATTTTAAGTCGAAAAAAAGTGACCATGTATCGGAAGGTTTTTTTAGTCGAAAAAAACGACCATGTATAGTAAGGCATTTTTGGCCGAAAAAAACGTCCATGTATAGTCGGTCGTTTTTAGACGAAAAAAACGACCATGTATAGTAAGGCGTTTTTAGCCAAAATTTTTTGACGAAAAAAAAAAGACCATGTATAGGAAGGCGTTTTTAGCCAAAAAAAGACCATGTATACTAAGGCGTTTTTAGTCAAAAAAGCGACCATCCAAAAAAAAGACAATGTATAGTAGGTCGTTTTTAGACGAAAAAAACGACCATGTATAGTAAGGCATTTTCCGCCGAAATTTTTAGCCCAAAAAAACGACCATTTATAGAAAGGTGTTTTTAGCCAAAAAAACACCATGTATAGTCAGGCGTTTTTAGTCGGAAAAAAGCGACCATGTATAGTAGGGTGGTCCACATTTTCATGGCAAAAAAAAAAGTTTGTCGGATTCGTCGGGCCGGGTCGGAATTCTTGTCGATACTATGGTACAAGGTTCTGTGCAAAATTTCATTCCGATCTGATGATATTTTCCCGTCCCGCAAAGCGGCCAAAGTTTCCACCATAACAACTGGTCTCAATAGGGTGAACATGTGTATTTTAACCGTGTATTTTGCCATG